CTGATCGGCTAAAACCGATCCGCTCCTTGTAAACCGCTCGGTGATGGTAGATTGGCAATTGAGGCCAAGCTGCCTGAAAGCAGTTTCCGATGCTCTCGGTGGTGGCAGAGCAGCAAAAAACTGTTTAAACTCTTGCCACGGTGCTTCAAAGGGCCGCCCTACAGCTGATCAGTGGTAAAAGGCAGTGTGGTGGTAGACCAGTGCGCTCCAAAAATAAATGGGTAGACCGGTAGGGCTCTGCAAGCAGTTAAAAGTCTGGTAGACCAATACCTCTGCTAAATCCTAAAGAATTGTTTGTCACATGACCCTCAAACCACATCCACAAAATAAGCCACGCCCACAGAACCGGTAGTAAAAAAATTTAGAACCCACCCCTGCTTCAGGTTATATGAAAATTAAATTGTACAGAGGTGAGGAGCCCTTGATCCTGCAGATATGGTGGAACCATTACTTCCATTCCAACCATATGGCTGAATTATTAATTCCCACTACGTTCAGCTGCGCTTTCGGCCAGGCTAGTCAAGACTGCAAGGGCATTGTACTACAGCTGCTTCTGGTCTGGATGTTCCATAGATCAGCCATCTTACGCACTGTGTTATATAGAGCTACTGTATGTTTCTCAACCTCAGCAACTTTAAGATGTGTGAATTTCAACTCCCAGGATTCTCCAGCCAGCGGGCTCCTTTTTAATATGACAAAGTATATAAATCTTCATGGCATTTATCTTACAAAAGCAAACTGGGCTCACTCATGTTATGGCAAAATGCTGTTTGTAAATGAAGATTTTGTCAGGGCATTTATTAATCCCATGTTTGGCTCTGGGACTAATTACCCTGTTTTAAAGGAGGAGATGAATCGAGGCTTATTCCAAGTTGCACTATTCTGATAAAGAAACGCGAAGGAAGGTTTCTAATAAAACTCATTTATTTGTTATAAAGAAAATAAAACACCTCACTAACTAAGAAAAGTTAATTGTTACATTTTTGAAAGTAATTCGGGCCGGCTATCTTTCAGCCGGACCTTGCTGGAAAGAGAACAAAGGAAAGATGTGTGAAGAGCAAGTGAAGGAATGTGGGTGGATACGGAAACACGTAGCTTACTGATAAGAAGTTGGCAAAGCTATGGAGAGTCTGACAGTCCAGAAATAATGAGTTCAGCTGGCAAATAAAATAACGCAGTGACAGATTTACAATTTGGAGTGTTTAAAAATCCATCCTATTATGGCTTATTCATCCTTGGGTAAGCCATGTGAATGCTGATGCCAAGGAAAGTACATGGTTGTTTTTCCATGGAGCCACCAGGAGTTAACGAGTTTCTTACTTTGTTAGCTGGAGCATATTCAAGGACATAGCAACAATTGGAGTACTTGGGAGAGCAAACTTTGGTGACCCAAGGGGTCATTTCAATGAACAATGTGGGCAACTGCCCAGATATGCACCTCACTCACTCACTCATTTGCACTCATATACCTCTTCCTTGCTATTGACTTCCAGTTACTTTCTGGATGCAGTTCAAGGTTCTGATTATTATCTTTAAGGCCCAGGGGCTGGATCCAGCCCGTGGGGTACTTAGATCTGGCTTGTGGGGCCACCCTGGAAACAGCGAAGGACTGGCCTGCAGTGCTTCTGCCAGTGAAAATGGAGCTTTCACTAGCAGAGGTTGCAGGAGGCCGTGGCAGCTGGAAATGGAGCTCGGGAGCCTGTTTTCTCTGGCAGAGCGCTCGGGCCACCACAAGTGCCCCTGACATGAGTGACGTCAAGATGGCCACGCCCACCCCAGCTCCCCAGGTCAAACACAATCCTGATGCGGCCCTAAATGAAATCGAGTTTGACATCCTTGCCCTAGATGGCAAAGAGCCACATAATTTGCAGGACCACCTTTGCTTGCAGGTATCAATCTATCCCATTAGGATAGATAGGGTGGATGTGCTTTGGATCTCTTCCCTTAAATGTTGTCATGCGATAGGATCTCAGAGAAGTGCCTTCTTGATAACCAGCTTTTTTGAATAATTTCCCACAAAAGATTCAAGGAATCGCTATCTTTTACCCTTTCAGAAGGCTGGGAAGACCTTTTTTATCAATTGTTGTGAGCTGCCTAGGATCATCATGAGGTAGGCACCATGTAAGCTGAATGAATGAATGAATGAACGCCTTCCCTCCCAAAGAGATTTTTAAGCAGGATAATCAAGGAGAAACTTTAGGCAAGGGGTTCCTAAACTTTTATATTTTAGTGTAATCTTAATATAGATACCTCCCCTAAAAGTCCAAACACCAAAATAATCACAGATGAACATTGAGAACAATATGAAGAATTTATTTTTTAATAAAGATGTACAAAATAAAAAAGCAAAGGTTGTTCACACTTCTGCTGGACTCCATTTCCCCCCCCTCTCCAAGGGAGGTACACCTATTTTGGAAAACCTAGTTTAGACTCTTTACTGTTGTAACATTATTAAGGTACTCCTTAACAGGGTCATTGACTCCCCCAAAGCACTGACCTATAGCGCAGGTAGAGTCATTAAAAGTTATATTTTCATTTGTAATCAGAATTGTGGCAACTTGAAAGCTTTGCAAGTTGACATTTGTTGATCTAGATAAATGGTGAAAACTCTTATTTTTTTTTCCCCCTTCCTACTATCTTGCTTAGCCTCCCAAGCTTCCCCTACCATTAGCAGGAAGGAATTTGCAAACTAATCAGCTTGGTTGACAAAGAGAGTCCCGGAGGTCTATGAGTTGCATTTGGTATAGTGGGGACCAGCTGGGACATCAAGCAAAGGAAGTAACCGAAAACTGGATGCACTTGAGTTGATTGTTAAACTGCAAGTTAACCAGCCAGTCTTACACAAGGTTGTGTTTTGTGTGCTTTTTAAAAAGTGACAGGCTGTAATTATACAAATGTGGTGATATGCAGAATCAACTCAGAGCAATGAGGACTTACTATTTTAAATTCATTATAGATGCCCACTTTGGTAAGACTCTGGGCAGTTTACAAATACAACAAAAACTGTTAAAAACAAATAGGTAACCTGGACTAACAGAATCAGATAACATCAAATAGAACCAATGAGGGGCTCCAAAAACACATGAAACCCAGGCCTGGGACCAAAGCCAGGTCTTTAAGGCGTTTTGCAACACTCAGAGGGAGGCACTGATGAAATCTTGGGGGGGGGAGCAGGTTGTTGTTTCAGAGGATGTGGGCCATGCTTCCTTAGTCCCATCAGATGACAATATTTAATAGAAGGGACTTGGAATATACCCATTCTTCCAGAATTATTTCTGGAAATAATTAACATTAGTAGACTAATATTGGTAGCATACTAATATTAGTATCAGTATACAGGTAGCCTTCGACTTAAAACTGTTCGCTTAGTGACAGTTCAAAGTTGTGAAAAGTCACAAAAAAGTGACTTTAGCACACAGAATAACCAAAATTAAACTTAATACAGAATTATTAAACTTGAGTTCATATTTCTCATATTTCATATTTCTTAGGATGACCTGATGGTTGAAGCCAGAATCTCCTGCTTCCTTTCATTTTTTTCAACCTGGTGTACATTTTTCTTTTATTGATTGAAGAAATTTGTCTCCTTTCCTCCATCTTCTTGTATTTCATTCCGAGAAACACTGTTTTAAAAGAACAAAGTCTTTTATCTCTTTGGGAAGGGAAGCGGAGGACGGCAATCTCTCTTCTTCTAAGATGACAGATGCTATACCCAGATGTATAAGTTGTATATATACTGTGCATATGAGCATCAGAGTAACAGAAAGGCTGAGAGAGTGAGACGCTGCAGCCTGTACATTCCCTATAGCAATCATATAAAATGTTAAATGGAAACAGGAACAAATACTGCATTCTTTGTCAAAAAATATGGATTCTCCTACACCGATGCATTATATATAGAAGAATTAAACTGCCATTATAGAACTGTGTCACACAGCTAACCTATTCTTCTTTTGTGTTCTTCATTTAATATGACAAGATTTATTGGCATATGTTCAGATCTGTTTAGTTACATATGAGCTCACCGTAATAGCTGATCCCTCACCAAGAGGATAAGCTTGGAAGAATTGACTTTGAAGTACCTATTGACAGGGAAAACTTAAGAAACATACATGCCTTGGGGAAAAGTATTCAAAGGACACACTGCTTCCTCCAAACAGCTCCCTTTTATAACAAGGCAGTTTACCTATGCATGTAAACATACCACTGTGCTTCATGCTATCAATAGTCCTGGCTCTGTCCTTCTGCATACAGTAAGTTGCTTGCCTTTACTCTCCACTCCTCTTAGGAACCTAAAATCAACTTGATAGACCTTGTATCTCTTTTATTTTGAAGATCCTAACCCAGTTTCTTCTAGCAAGACTCCCCACAGCAATTGCAGCACCATCTTCCTTACAGATGTTCCAAAGTATTTCACTAGAACTTGAAAGAGCTCATAAGAGTGGGTTAGGTTGTGATCAGGTTTGCTGATTGGTTCTTTGATACAATGTGCTGTTTTTAAAGTCTCACCAAGTATAGGATGGATTCAGGACCAATAGAATTGTTTGATAATTTGTCTCTCCCTACAGTACTTTGCCTTGAAAAAGCAAGGTTTTCAGGAACATTTATTTCTTTTGAATTCTTATGGTCAAGAGAGATCCTCTCCTTCCAGACATTTGGAGTTGACATCACTCCCCCCCTCCCCCCCCTAGTATAATCAACGGTGCTTTGCTTGATAGGCTCCAGAGACAGTCCTTGAGTAAAAATTAATAGCAAGAAAAGGCACAGAAAAAGCAAATGGTACTGATTTTCCTTAATGGTCATAATTCTAAATTCTAAATTTATAAACTTTACTTGGATTTTCAAAATCCAAGTGGATCATATCCCCCATTAAAGATATAAATGAAGCTACTAAGGATATAATAAAAGAAACCCCAATACCTGACTAAAGCATTATAAAAAGAATAAAGCATAAAATTCTTTAAACGAATAAACATAAATAATGAATGTATAAGAGAAGGCACAGTAGAAACAATGCTTTTAATTAGTCATAAAATATCCATATTTTTCAGCCTACTGTTTCAACTGCTACATTGAAAGAGAAGAATCTCATTTCCTGTTCAAAGGTACAAAAAAGTAGGGCCAAAGTAAACAGAATAAAGTTATTGTAGCAATGTTCTGTCTGTGTACAAGACTGTTTTCTTTTAGTTCCCATAGGCTCCCTGTCTAATGTAACTTTAGCTCTATCATTGACAATTTCAGAAAAGCAAAACACAACAGGTACCCCTACACACTGCTAAATCAGCAGAGTTTGTGTTCAGCTGAGAGCAGGATTCACAACTTCTTTTGAGCTGTTACATAGTTTTGGGTGCATAACAAATAAAAAAAACTACTACATTGACTTAGATTTTGAGTGTTAGGATAGAGTTATGCACCAAAAACTGAAGGAGGCAAGACAAAGCAGTATGCGCAGCCAGGACAAATTTTGATTTCATTTACATTTAATTGAAATTACAATTAGCATGTTTATGTATATTTAACAATTTTCTAATTATGTCACAAACATTTACAATTTAGTAGCTATTTAAAAGGAATTGATTGGGACCCTGAGGCTTTAGGTCATGCACCTCTACCTAAACACAATAAATGAATGTGCATATAATCTGTTAGAGTTATATTATATGAACACCAAGCCTCACAGCTTGTTCAGAAGAAGCTCTGGCTTAGCACTGTATATGGACATCATTTAGAGTGATTCTGCATGGCCAACCCCCAACAGTCACAATAAAGATATTCTGGATTGTTCATCCTTGTTCGATTTGTATTTCTTTTATTTTTTAGGACACAAAACTGTGTACATAATGGTCCCAAAGTCACCCAGTCAATTTCATGCATAAAGGAATAGAACTCACACTGTCTTCATTTCTAGTCTGGCCAGCTCTTAATAGAAAGTAGAGGAAAAGATGGGGAAGAAGCCCCCTGAAAAATAGGGATTACTAACACAAGAAAAAATCATTTGTACCATCCATAAAATATTGTGAATAAAACAGGGAAACTGTACACACACACCCAAAAAAAGCCTGATGTTGCCACCTTCTTTTCATACTCTTGTAAACTGAATAATTCAGGATGGTTCAGGATAATGCATACGTAAACTGCAATACTTAATCCAAGTGAACAAAATGCTGGGTTGGTTTTTTCCATTTCTCAACACCAGCTATAAAAGAAATTGTGTTTAAGGTTATCTTTTTAAAGTTTGGCCAATGGTAATTGGTGTAAATTCCTAGAAATTTACTACTCAATTGTTTCTCTCCATTGGATTGAAAATAAGGGAGAGTGTAATTACAGAATCAAAGCAGAAGTGGCACCATGATTGCTATAATTAGGAAGCCAATTTACCTAGTAAAGTGGCTCTTGAAACCTGAGCCTGTTGCTGAAGAGGAGGAGGAAGAGGAGAAAATAAGATTATAGGCAGCAGAGAGGCTTTTCCTCAAGCAAAATGCTCTGCACTTGGCATACAGATTCCATATACTTAGTTAAACTCAGTAAAAAAAAATGACTTGGGCTGATTTGGACACACTTTTAAAAAACAAATTGTGCCTTGCCTGAAGTTAAGTTTCCAAGGAAGGAAGACATGAGAAAATGGCACAAAGATTAGTCTTTTCATATACTGCTAAAGCCTTACTCTACAAAATACCACTTTTTGTGCAGTATAGTCCCTCATCTCAAGAGATAAGGGTAGAGCTATCCGGCCATCCTCCATGAACTTTGTCAATTTAATCTGATTCTCTGAAGAAAGTGAAAAAGGATTCTCCAAACAGATCTTCCACACTAGCATAGATCTATTACCGTAAGGAAGCAAGAATGAGTCCCCTCCCCTTCCAGATTTAGGAGACTGGACATTGTCTTTCGCTCTTATACCAAACTGTGGAATCTGTCTCTTTCACAGGAACACCTTCAAAATTCTAGCCTTAAGAACAATGATTCTGCAGGCTTTCTCATGATTGATATTTACACTACACACAGTAACAACATGCAGAAAGAACAGCTCTGATAATTTTCCCTCTAACCAATTCCACCCCACTAAAATTCTTACACGTTCCACTCCAGTTCATTGGATTTAGAAGAAAGGCCCAATTCCAAATATCTGCATGATTAATGAATGACAAGAGTTAGGAAAAATGTTCACAAACTTGAGTGGGTGAGAAAGAATGGTAATGTATATAATATATAATTTGTAAATTCTAGCTTTGGAGTCATCTCATTCCCTTTACACAGTAATCATTCCTGCATTTACTGGCATACTGTGTTCTTGTGTGGGACAACTATTAAGTCTTGCTTGATTTGTAGGGATAGGTTTCTTTAAGTCAGGTCTGAACAAACAGTCCTGCCAGAGAACTGCTCTCTGGTCCAAGAAAAAAGAACTGTGATAATTTTAGTTCTTCCTATTCCCCCACTCTCCCTCCAAAGGGATATTACAATTTGGTAATAATTTTAATTAGCTCTTAAATTACCTGCAAAGCCAGGGCTTCAGTTTGTGAACCTCTGGCTAAGACAAGGGTGTCAAACTCAAGGCCCGGGGGCCAGATCCGGCCCACGGGATGCTTAAATCTGGCCCGTGGGGCTGCCCTGGAAACAGCAAAGAACCTGCCCTCAGTGTTACTGCCAGTGAAAACAGAGCCGTCGCAGCTGAAAATAGAGCTCGCAAGGGCCATGGGCGGCACTCCCAAGCTCTGTTTTCACTGGCAGAGGGTTGCAGGAGGCCGTTGCAGTCGAAATGGAGCTCAGAAGCCACATGAGTATCGAGCTGGCCACCCTGGCTGTAATACCCATGCCAACCCCTCGAGGTCAAACACATCTCTGATGCAGCCCTCAATGAAATCAAGTTTGACACCCCTGGGCTAAGCTAAGGAAAGATTGCACTTAGTGGGGCTAGATAAATTTTACCATAAGACTGTTTCCTTTGTCTGACAGACCAGCACTGCCAGGCCAAAATTATATCCTGATTATGCTTGTATTATAATAAGACAAACTTATTTGAGCGTCAAAAAGTCATCACTACGGTACTAAGAGTCTGAAGAAAAAAAGAGTATGTAGGAAGTGTGAATCATTTGAAGTGGCCTTTCCTATTTTTTATCCGGATTATCACATCTGACTTTTTATAGAAAACTAGCAATAAATCTTATTCAGTAAAACTGACTCACTTCCAACATGAAGTGCTTGTCCTTTCAGTTATGAAGATAACTCTCGTTTGAAGTAAAAACAATCTTTTCTTGTGGGCAAATGTAATACAGGTTGTTAAAACCCATTTTCTAAACAGGGTAAGTCATCCAGAGAGATTTCTGTACTATTAGAACAACTATCCTGGTGAAGAGAGCAAATAAATTGAAATACACAATTCCTTTTATACTTGGATGAAAACCCTCTTTCAAAATTATCAACAGTTATGATCTATTGAAGATAATGCAGAGATCACACTACCACTTCTGGTTTGGTACCACATTAATCAGATTTCACAAAATGTGTTTGAGAAAGACAGGTTATTTCCCACCTCATCCCACTCTATTAGTTATCAAGACTGCAACTTGCTTGTTCTCCAATTGGCCCCATTAACTATGAGGGCTAGTCATTGATAAATAAGTACCGACAAAAAAATGAACGAACAAAAACAACCCTTAAGATCGGGGCTGGAAGAATTTAAAGTATCATGTACTTACTGATATCAGAAATGAAACAAAACTATTTTTTACAACTAAACCAAATACATTAGAGTGCCAAAGAACTGTTTGTTTCTCAAATTTTCTGTAGCAAAATGTTTGCAAATGTTTGCACTAGTAAAACCATATTAAAATATGCATTAATTTTCATCTATTTACATTCAACACTGGAAAAATAAACATCCCCTTACCCTAGCTCTACCTACCTGTAAAAAAAATGTCATTAGGTGGAAAGCAGGCAAACAGCATGAACTGTCAAGATGCAACAACCTCCCAGCTGCTCATTTCACTTCCTGACTTCATGAAACCAATGGCCATCAAGGCAAAGCAAGAACTGACACATATCTCTTACTGGCAAAAATTGTAAGATTTTAGGCATAAACAAAGACACATGGAGAATATGATCCCAGAGGCAGAGAGACAAGAATGTGTAGAAATTGGATTACTGACCTGCAAGAAACATGGGAAATCAATTTTACCCCATCTCAGATGGGGTAGCAAACTAGTGCTATTTACAACTAAGCAGGGAAGAATACCCTATTTCATGCTAGCAGACTACATGGTAGGTCCATCCTTCTTAATATGGCATAGGAAGGAGATATTGCTTTCTTAGCTCTGGCTCTACCAAACACATTTAATTGCCATCACAATTGGAGAACTGCCAGAGATGAGAGTGACCTTATGAGTAGCAGCCCTTTGCAAATGCAGATATAAGAAAATGTTATCATCACACTAATACTCTTCATCAGATGGCTATGGAAGGATTTCCTATTGATTTCAGTGCAGAAGCAAAAAGGCATAACATTTGAAATAATAATGCCTTCAATAATTTATTCCTATATTACAGAGTTATACCCACTTTCTCCAGCCCATACTTTTCATGTAGAAAAGTGTGTAGAAAAATCCAGGAAGTATTAATAAGCATTTAATATGAGTAAGCACTAATCATAAAATAGAGGTATTTTGCTGTTTTAATGTTTGTTGCTTTTCCATGTAATTGTATATTACCATTATACTATTCACAATGCTGAGGTAAGCAAAAGGATACTCTTTTAATTGAAAAGTTAGAAATATCTAACTATTGTTATAACACAATCCTTACATTAGCTTCCTGCATGATTTCGTTTGAAGTGTCCTAAAGATTTGCTAAACTTAATTTTTACTCTTAAATAGATAAAATAAACTTTGGTTCCTATTGTTCTTTCTATGAGAGACACTCTACAATTTCAATAACTCAGTTAACCATACAGAAAAATTCGAATATAAGTAAATCAGGTTAACTGGAAAGCACTTCTGGTTTTGTAGTAGCCTTTTAATGCAACTCCAGTCCTAAACATATTTATTTGGAATATTAATTTTGTCAGGCCTTATTTCCAAGTAAATCATTTTTGGATTGCAATCCAAAATTATTACCAGGTTATAAAACCATATAGAAAACCAACATGCCACACAGAGCAGTATTTTGCTTGCTCCTGTTCACAAATATAATGAAACACTCACAAATATAACCAAATCCAATTGAAGCTATGGAAAATTGGTCTATCAGAACAGGAAATATTATCTCCTAGGAAACAGGTGTCATCCACCCAATTTACAAATGTATTTTATCACCTTCTTTGAGTAGATGCCTTGTCTTCAATCTCATTCCCGACGTAGCTAGCAAGGACTCAGAACCTGCACCATACAAAACAGCAATGGAAACAACACACCTACTTCTCTTTGCTAGAATTAAATTGAAGTGGAGCATCCATGGACAACAGAGCTGTCTGGCTCTACAAGAGTAGATTGAGGAAACTGAGAATGAATATATCATGCTAAGTCAAATTGAGATGCCAAACACAGGCATCTGCACCTGTGCTGAACACTCATTTGTAAATCTTTCAGATTTCTGACAATTACAATAGGAAAAAGGATGTTTAGAAAACATAAACACAGTATTTGAATATTAATATTCAATAATATTTATCAATCTCAAAAACACTGAGTGTGACTCATTTAAAGTTTGATTCAATCTGAGGCACAAGTTGGGAAAACACCCATGATCAAAATAGTTGCTTTTTCTCTTCTTTCAAGACTGAGATAAGACCGAAATAGTGCTTACACACTATAGCACTTACACGCCCAACCTTGTCCCAGAAACTGAGGATTCTGTGGCACTACTATATACACATCTTATTTCCAGCTTCTATTCCTCTTAATCAGACCGTATCCTTATGTACTAGATAGCTTTCTACCCTTTTCTCTTCCCATCTGCACAGCTAAGAATTCACTTTTTCTCTTAGAAGCTAGTAAGAAAATGATGTCACTTTGCCATTCTGGGACAAGGATAGCGGATATAGCTAAAAAATCTGCCATTTTAATTTTGGAACAGAATAGTTGTCCATGTTTAGTGAACAACAGTATCGACATTTGATATTTTGCCACAACAGGCCCAGAGCTTAAGCTGTGCTACTCTATAGCAATCCATAACCAAAGCAGCCCCAAAGATGTAGGAAAGCCATTGTCAGTTACATGCTGCCACCTGGAGGAAAAAGGAAAAACTGCTGGTTATATGTCACAAAACAATTTTATCTCCTCTATGCTTGGTTGACTGTAGATCAGGAACATTATCTTTGGGCACATGTAACAGCTCCGTGTCTTGAAAGATTTTCCATTTATAAATCATCATTGCAACAACTCCTCCCAGCAGATAGGTCTAGAAAAAACTTCCCTTTCCAGCCACAAGTCATAATTCATTTGGAAATCTTCAGGCAGTTCCACCCGCTGACCCAACACACTTTGCAAACAGTTGTCAACAGGTAGAAAATCAGGATTGTTATGTGCCCGGTCATAGCGTCGAGAGTTGAAGCGTTCTATACTGGCCCGTAGAGCACATTCTTCAGCTTGGAAGTCCCATGGACGTGCATCCAGATCTGTGGAGGTCATGAGGCAGACAATCAATGAATGTGATTAACTGAAAACAGCTACACTGCCACATTAGAAATGTTCAGACAGCTTACAAAGAGGACCTAGGTGTTCAGTGAATAATAGTGACAGGCTTGTAACCCACTGCTGCATCTCAACTCAGTTGTTCAGGGACAAATTGTATTTTATGTAATTACATAAAATACAATTTGTCCCTGAACAGCTGAGTTGAAATGCACAGCAGTGGGTTACAAGCCTGTCAAAGGTGGCTTACATGAGTGATAGAAGAGGAAAGGCCTACAAATGAAATTATTACTTGAAATTATTATTACTACAATTATTACTTTCTCCTTTTGGATCTTCAACTGAAAGAGGACCAGGAATAAGCACAATATAACTAACTTTCAGATACAATGTAACTGAAAAGATTGACATGAGAAAATACAATAGAATTTCTCTCAAAATAATTTATAAGAAAAAGACAGATTTTTCCCAGAGCTGAACCTTTTCATTCAAAACAAGTAATCCTCGATTTATGAACATAATTGAGCCCCAAATTTCCATTGTTAAGCAAGGGAGTTAAGGGAGCTGCACCTTTTTATGACTTTTTTTTGCCATAGTTAAGTGATTTACTGCAGTTGTTAAATGAATTTGACTTCCCCCCATTGACTTTTTTGTCGGAAGCCAGCTGGAAAGTCACATATGGTGATCACCTGACCCTGGGACATTACAACTGTCATAAATACATGCCAGTTACCAAATGCCCATATTTTGATCACGTGACTGTGGGGATACTGAAATGCTGTAAGTGTGCAAACCAATCATGTGACTTTTTTCAGTGTCATTGTAACTTTGTACAGTCACTAAATGAATGGTTGTAAGTTGAAGACTATCTGTATTGTTGAATGATAAATTACAACTTTAATCCTGTTCATTTTTTTTACAGTTTATGTATTGTGCTATGTGGTTCCCTGTAATTAAATACTATTCCATGGGGAAGAGGTATATTTATCTGCGTGAGAAAAACACATATGAGGCAATACCATTTGCTGATATGCTGCACAGGGAAATTAGAGCTCTCCCATATTATGTTCCTTTGGAATAGCACTTTGTCCCACTTCCTTTCCTAGTTAACCATAATTGTATGGTCTATGCTTCTGAATTTGAGGCTCCAGTTTTTTGTCTAATTTCATGAAGAACACATTTAAGAGGCTTCAGTTACTTTCAGTCCTGCACACCAGCCATTAAAGCATCAACAGTGCTTTACAACACAGACCCTAAATCCTTAACTTACAACCATTTAAAAAGAATTCAAAGTTACAATGATCTCAGAAAAAGTGACTGACAACCTGGTATTTGCACTTATGATCACTGCACCACTCCCACAATGACGTGATCTCAATTTGGTGCATGGCAATTTTTTTGCATTTATGATTGGTTGTAGCTTCCTGTGGTCACGAGATCATAATTTGCAACCTTTTTTTTTTGCCGGGTTCTGGCAGAAACACTCAAACACTCAACACTTAAGCTGCATTTGCTTAATAACCACACAATTCATTTAATGAGCATGTGATTTCCTTAACCACTGTGGTGACTTAACCGCTGTAAAAATTGTTGTAAAATTGGGTCCAACTCAATTTATGACCATCATGATTTATGATGGAAATTCCAGTCCCAATTGTGGTTATAAGTTGAGAACTACCTCTAGAGCTTCTTTCATGACAGTTTCTTGCTCATCACAGCTAAATAATATTGATAGAAGAGTTCCAAAATGCTACCATATAGGCTCCCAATATTATTTATTTACCAGGCTTCCAACACTGGAGACACTCAAGAAATATTATTACTATGGATAAAATGCATATATTTTCTCATTTATGACATCTCACACGTAGCACACCATCTTTTTTCAACAACAACAATAATAACTGCTGCCAGAAGACCACCCAGACTGACTATAAACAATGGCATGACAAAGTAGCAATGGTGCACTGGAATATCTACAAGCCAAGAACTGGTGGGACCACTAGACAATAGACAAAGTAATAGCAAATGGAAATGCTCTGGGACTTTAGAATTCAAACAGACAAGCACCTGCCATATAACAACTCAGATTTAACAATTGTCAATAAAAAAGACAAAAAATTCTGGTTAGTGGACAGGGAAGTGTCTAGAGAGCGCAGAATTGAAAATAAAGAACTAGAGAAAATTGCAAAATATCAAAACCTGCAAAATACGAGTAAAATGAAGATGGCAAAAGAAAGCAAAGATAATACCAATATTAAAAGGCTCCTTGGATGCAATGCCAAAACATCTGTAGCACCACTTGAACACCATAGGAATTGATAAAAATTACTTGAAATAACTTGCATCCTGCGACAATATCTTCAATACCATAAACGATAACATTTATTTATCCCATAACAGGTGGATAAAAATGCCAAATCCAAACATCTGGCTCATTTGGCATAATATAACCTATGTGGGCTTTTAAATTTTGCTCTTCACAACTAACTTAACTGCAAAATTGATTTTCATTGATTCATAGCACCTTACCCAAGGCTGTGATGATCTATAAAGTTATTGATGAAGCTATAATTTGTCTTAGCAAAGTATTGTTTCCATTCAGAAAACAATATATCATTACAGCTCATTTAGAAGAGAAGTCTATTCATTAAGGGACATGGACTGCTACCAACAAATCAGCATTCCTGAAAGGTTTACAGTGAGGTTGGGAGGGTAGAGGCAATGAGAGGAGACAGACGCAAGATATATACCATTGCCATAAGCCCAGTCATCATTGAGCCGATGTCGCACTTTTTGGTAGATTGCAGACATAGTTTTCATGTTGCTTTTCCTCCACTGACGTCCCAGGTACTTTGTCTGCACTTTGAGAAGTTTCAATACATAGAGTTGCATCATGGCTTGCTTTACTTTCAGGGCTCTTTTTAGAATGGGAGCAGACTTGAAAACTACCAGCATCTGGAAAGGTAAAGTAGCAGATCAGTTGTCTAAGTTACATTGTTGCCTCTGTCATAATTTATATGCCCAGGATCAAGATTATGGTAAACATCCAACAGTGTCTAGAGTACAGCATCATACATAGAAAATTTATATAGTGATAAACAAACATATGGAAATATTCCATCTTACCATGGTCCTAGAGTGTTTCCACTTTGTTAACTTATTCAATATCCTAAGAAGATTAATGCAAGAAAATAAGTTCCGCCAGCAAAACTGATTATTGTCTCCAGCTTCCTGTAAGGGAAAGCAAAAATAAGTATTACCAAAACAGAAGACTTAACAGAGCCAGCAATAGTAATGGTATTTCTGTCCGATTTTTGCATGTGCCTCCCAAAATAAAACCATAGGTAGCTTTGCTTACCAAACTTTCTGCAGTCAGCTCTGGTAATTCATGTACCACACAATATGGATAATCCAAAACAGAAATGCTGAAACATAAGAATGCCTGAATGAATTGCTAGTGATGTAAGATGAAGAAAGTTATCAAGTTAAAGACCGTGTGATCCAATGGTCACCAATGGCAGAATCAGATCAACTGGTGTGCAATAAAGCAAAGAAAAATATCAATTTTACAGTTAAATAAAATTGTAGATGTTCTACTGATAGATTAACCAGTATTGATTTGCCCAGCCCATTATCTATTTTATTAAATATTACTAAACCTTTTATTCCTACAAAATATATTGAACTGGCTTTGTATATAGTAATATCTGCTAGAATACCTTATGGTTCTTATTGGAAAGCAGAAATAATTTCTTCTGTAGAAGATTGGCAAATTAGGTAAGTATGCATTATTCATAACTTCCAGTTATGAAGAATATTTGTGGAGATTAGTAACGTTAATTTTCATTTATCTTTCAGCCATAGCTCGGTTTTTTGTTCAAACAACACATCTCTAAGCTATTTACTACAGCCATGTCTTCATCAGGCCTTTCTCAATGGCATATTTATTATTTATTTATTTATTAAACTTATTTGCCGCCCATCTCACCTTAGAAGACTGTACTCTATATTCCTACTTGAAAGCAAAAACCTGGGAGATGACCTGTTATTTTTTAAATACATATTTAGTACCATGCACATCAGGGGTGGATTCTAAATTTTTTTACTACCGGTTCTGTGGGCGTGGCTTATTTTGTGGGCGTGGCTTGATGATCATGTGACAATTATTTAGGATTTAGCAGAGGTACTGGTCTACCAGGCTGTACCGATCTACCCATTTATTTTTGCAGGCACTGATCTACTCATGTATTTTTGCAGGCACCGGTCTACACATTTATTTTCTTTTAACACTGATCAGCTGTAGGGCGGCCCTTTGAAGCTCTGTGGCAAGAGTTTAAACAGTTTTTTTTCTCCTCTAGCCATCAGCTGGGACTCAGGAGGCAGCAATAGATTGGGGGTAGGGCCAAATAAAAGATAAGAATAACAGGGGTGGGGGGGACAGAACCGGTTCGGTGATGTCATATCGTCACCACTACCGGCTCGGCGGAACCGGGAGGAACCCACCACTGATGCACATGCTATTTTTACATATGCAATGCTCATCATTCCCACCTACCTATTCTTTGCTGTGATGTATGACATAATGTTCTGATTGAAGAATTTCAATATAAGTGGAATGCAGTTGGCAAACACTAGATGTTGAGCCATGTATTCAAACTGGTGAAGAAAAACAGAACAGAGTATGTTAGGGAAGCAAATTCTTCCATCCCCTCATCCCATTTCCAGTGATATTGGCTCACACCAGTGCATACTTACTTGATATACATGATTCAGTTTAAAATGCTTGAGCAGCAGCAGCAGAACAGCAGAAATAGCTTTTACAATAATCTCTTTATGTCTATTCACATCAACGCCCAGCTTCATACTCTGTAACACAGTTGTTCTGGAAACCAGACCAGCAGTATTAACTTTTGTGATTGCTATGTTAAATGTAATAGTAGATATATCATAGGCAGACTTTAAATTTTGGTTCAGCTATTGTTTGTTTCTAGGTTGCAAAGCCTTTTTTTTCTTGACAAGAGGTTAAATGAAAATCCAGTCTATGATTCTACCAGCCCAACACATTCAACAATAAAAATCTGCTATACTTTCCACTACTTTTCAAAAATAGTAAGGCAACACCAGAACTCCCATTCAAGGAAGGAACACTTGGTGTCTCTATTTTTAGTTTCAGATATGCTTTTTCTTTAACTCAGCATTTAGTTGTAGTTTTATTTATTTAAATTGCCCTCCTTAGAGTTTTTTTAAATTGTAGTAATATTACTGCATGTTTTATTTCAATATATCTGATTAACTTAGCAAGCCATTTTGATCTTACATATAAAGTGATGCAAAAATTCTAAATTAGTAAAACTCTAAATCAGAAATAATCACATCGCTATCTGTTTAGAATCTTCTATCTTCATCCATTACATGCACTGCTTGCTTCTGGCTTATGACTAAAACTTACGGCATCTCCTCGGGCAAAACATCGGCAAGGATATTGATGGAATCAGTCTTGGCTTTGGAGGTGGGTGCTGCAGCGAGCAGAATCTTTAGCAAGGCAATCTAGAAATCATAGTTAAATGTTGTAGCGAAGACTTTCTGAAGCATGCATGGGTAAGGAAGAGGGGACTTCCTAAATACCAACAATGACAGGATATTAACAAAGTGTGCATATATATATATACACACACACACACAGACACACACACATACACACACACACTTATATATATATATATCAAAGAAGCCTTGACAGCTATCCAAAACAAATATAACCACCACCACCCCCAGCACATCCTAGATCTGACCAACCACTGCCTATCCAACACATACTTCATCTATAACGGACAAAAATACAAACAAATAGAAGGAGTACCCATGGGATCACCCCTCTCACCTGTCATTGCAAACCTCTACATGGAACACTTTGAAACCCAAGCTCTAGAAAACTCTGATTACAAACCCAAACTTTGGCTCAGATACGTAGTTGACACCTTCATAATCTGGCCACATGGGAAAGAAAAACTGGACAATTTCTCACACACCTCAACAGCCTACACCCCAAAATACAGTTCACCATGGAAACAGAAGCTAACAACCAACTTCCCTTCCTGGATGTCTTAGTCTACAAGAAATCCAATGGCTCCCTAGGACACATCATTTACCAGAAGAAAACACACACAAACCGCTATCTGCACGCACTCTCACACCACTACCCAGCACAGATCAACTCCGTAGCCAAGACACTCATCTCCAGAACAAAATGCTTAGCTGACGAACAACACCTAAAAACCGAACTACACACTCTCACTAACGTACTAACATCCAATGGATTCCAAAGAAATAAGATTACCAACCTAATCCAAAAAGAAACCCCCACTAAAATCCAAGACAGAGAACAAGAAAACGGCAAAGCCCTCCTCCCATACATAAACGGCACCACAGACAGAATCAGCAAGATCCTCCACAAACACAACATCAAGACAGCATTCTGCACAAACCGAAAAATATCCACCATCCTAAGAAACCCCAAAGACAAAATTGAGTTAGAAAATCAAGGAGTATATGAAATCCCATGCACTGCCTGCCCCACCACATACATCGGACAAACCAACAGAACAATAAGTGCACGCATAGAAGAACACAAGAACTTAGTCAGAAAAGAGGAACCAACTTCTTCCCTGGTCCAACACCTTAAAGCCACAGGACATGATATTGACTTTAAAAAGACCAGAACTATCGCCAAAACTGAACACTTTAACAGCAGAATAATCAGAGAAGCCATCAAGATAGAAAACTCCCACACTACATGAATAAATGAGATGATACCTCCCGCCTACCAGCCATTTGGAAACCCTTATTGACAAACGAATCCCTAACACAAAGAATGACACCAGACCCACACTCACGAAAACCACGCAGGATGTCACCACCACACATCCACGCAAAAAGCAAACGAAAACCCACACCGATGATGAGGCATGACCACAAACCAGAAGCCAGACCACAGCTGCATCATTAGCCACTTTAAACCCCTCCAATCCATACACGAAGCAAACTGACACCCATCATGAAGATGTGGCACGACCACGAACACAAAGCCAAACAACAGCAACACAGCTCACCAGCTCAAATCCCCCTGCAACTCAGACTAACCCGAGCACAACCAAGCCCCCACCCAAACAGAACACACCCCCATCCAATCAGAGCACAGCCAACCCCTCATCCAATCAGAGCATAGCCAAGCCTCCAACCAATCAGAACACACCTCCACCCAATCAGAACACAGCCAAGCTCCCACCCAATCAGTTCACACCCCCACTGGCAGTTAAAAGGAAGAAACAGCTGTGATCACACATTGCTCCTAGAAGCACGAAGCCGAAAACACCAGCCTGAAGATGACAAATGATATACATATATATATATATATGCAAAAAATTAAAATCTCGGGTGTTTTCCCGCGTCATATTAATAAGTTAGTTAAAATATTTAAAATTCTGATTAAAATCCTAGCTTAAAATCTTCTAAAAATCCTTACAGAGCACTCTGCAAGGTCCTTTAAAACCTTAGCTAAAATCCTACCAGTAACTTTAAAAGTTTTTCTTATAGCAACGTTTTGACAGGCTCACAACCCTGTCATCTTCAGGCTCTTATCTAGTTTAGAAGCTGTGGGTGTGTTGTGAAGTCGGAGTTTTTCTATGTTTGCTGCTGCTGCTGACATATGCTGGTTAGTCTGTAACTCTATGTTGTGATTGGAGAACAGCAGTTTTTCTTCCTGCTTCCTCATCCAGGCTGTTTGGCTGCGTGTTACAGGCCTAACTTTCTCAGGTTCTCTATTATTATCTGTCTGCTGTAGAATTTAGAAGATTTTAAGCTAGGATTTTAATCAGAATTTTAAATATTTTAACTAACTTATTTAATATGACACGTGAAAACACCCGAGATTTTAATTTTTTGCATATATACACCCGCGAAAATTTAAGAAGACACACACACACACACACATATACACACACACACATACATATATACATACACACACACACACACAATCTCACAAAGATGTTTAATCAAGACAAGAATCTGTACAATGGAATGCTAAAGGAAGCAGTTAAATTTCTGCCACAAGAAAATGACAGTGAGACAATACAACATAATTAAGAAACAGAGACAGAAACTTCTTAAGAGAGAATACAGTATATACACACAGAGACTGCAACTCACCATGTATTGAGGCAGGCTAGGAAGAAGACCCTGGTATAAGATTTCAGCTGGAACTTGCTCAACTTCCTCTTCCCCCTATTAAGACAAGCAGATGATTGCAACTTGTTTTGTACCCACAACTCAAAGTTAACTGGCATATTTTGAATATTTCATTCTATATCAGAACAAAGCCAAAGCAACCTTTGACCCCAAAAATGTTTTCCAAAGGCAGACAACAATTTTAGAGCATTTTGACATACAAACAACTGTATGCAGAATGGAACAGCAATTCTTGTCATGGGAGATAATGAGCTCTGTGGAAACTCTTATTTGAAAAAGGGGGAAAAATGCTTTTTAATCATTTATCTTTCTGTCATTTTGCAGACTATCTTACATGAATGCAAGGAGGAATAAATGATAAAACATATTAAAAAATAAAAGAACTAGGTCACACACAACATCTGCAGATAAGAGTCAATGATAAGTCCAGTTCTACAAGAGAAATATGTTTTCTTCCCATTACTCTCTTTTTTTCCCCATACAGAGGGTGTCTTTCCCGCTGCCCTGAAAGAGGCGGTGGTAAGGCCTCTCCTCAAGAAGCCTTCCCTGGACCCGGCAGTATTGGCTAATTATCATCCAGTCTCCAACCTTTGCTTCGTTGCGAAGGTTGTTGAGAGTGTGGTTGCGCGACAGCTACCCCAGTACCTGGATGAAGCGTCGTATCTAGATCCGTTCCAGTTGGGCTTCAGACCTGGGTACAGCACGGAAACGGCATTGGTCGCGTTGGTTGATGATCTCTGGAGGGCTCGGGACAGGGGTTGTTCCTCTGTCCTGGTCCTGTTAGACCTCTCAGCGGCTTTTGATACCATCGACCATGATATCATGCTGCACCGGCTGGAAGGGTTGGGGGTGGGAGGCACCGTTTTACGGTGGTTCTCCTCCTTTCTCTCTGACCGGTCGCAGTTTGTGTTGACAGGGGGGCAGAGATCGACCCCGAGGCCCCTTATATGTGGGGTGCCGCAGGGATCGGTTCTCTCGCCCCTTCTGTTCAACATTTATGTAAAGCCGCTGGGCGAGATCATCCGTGGTTTCGGGGTGAAGTACCATCTGTACGCTGACGACACCCAGCTGTACATCTCCACCCCGGACCACCCCAACGATGCCCTTGAAGTGATGTCCCAGTGCCTGGAGACTGTACGGATCTGGATGGGGAAAAACGGGCTCAGGCTCAACCCATCCAAGACCGAGTGGCTGTGGTTTCCGACGTCCCGATATAGTCAGCTGGCACCATCGCTGGCTATTGGGGGCGAATCATTGGCCCCCACGGAAAGGGCTCGTAACTTGGACGTCCTCCTGGATTCACAGCTGTCTTTAGAAGAGCACTTGACGGCCGTGACCGGGAGGATTTTTCATCAGGTTCGCCTGATTCGCCAGTTGCGTCCCTTTCTAGATCGGGACTCGTTACGCACAGTCACTCATGCCCTCGTCACCTCTCGTCTGGACTATTGTAATGCTCTCTACATGGGGCTCCCCTTGAGGTGCACCCGGAGGCTCCAACTGGCGCAGAGTGCGGCCGCGCGGGTGGTTATGGGAGCAACATGGAGCTCCCATGTAACACCTCTCCTGCGCGAGCTGCACTGGCTCCCGGTGGTCTTCCGGGTGCACTTCAAGGTTCTGGTTACCACCTTTAAAGCGCTCCATGGCTTAGGACCTGGTTACTTACGGGACCGCCTACTACCATCAACAGCCTCCCACCGACCAGTACGCTCCCACAGAGAGGGGCTCCTCCAGGTGCCGTCGGCCAAACAATGTCGGCTGTCAGCCCCTAGGGGGAGAGCCTTCTCTGTGGGGGCACCGACGATCTGGAATGAGCTCCCCCCAGAGATACGGAGGATTCCGGATCTGCGCACCTTCCGCCGCGAGCTGAAGACGCTTTTATTTCATCAAGCTGGCCTCGCCTAAATCTTCTCCCTTCTAAGTGTAAATTTTAAATTTTTAATGTATTTTAAAATATGGGTATTTTAAATTATGGGTATTAATTCAGCCAAATTTATTTAATTCATTTTATTCGATTTTAAATTTTGTATATCTATGTGTTTTATTTCATGGCTGTGCACCGCCCTGAGTCCTTCGGGAGTAGGGCGGTATAGAAATTCAATAAAACAAAAAACAAACAAACAGATGTCTCTCTTCAATATTAGCATTCTTCCTATGACACTTACCCCTGACAAGGGAGAACGCAGATACTCCTCTTCCATTTGAACTTGAATTTCTGCAATAGATGTATACTTGTGCTATAAAATAACAAGACAGAGGAAATTTACTTCATAAGCCTGAACTGATTGGACTGTCAAACACTGTCTGAGAAAGTAGCAGCAGCAGCAGCAGATGGGATGAAACTGAAAATGAGCATCTCTGTGAGAGGTTCTCTAAACCTCAAAATGGAAGAGCATGGGCAATCGGAAACTCACCAATTTTAGAGTTTTGATACTCTCATGAATTGGTCTTGGCAATCCCACTACGGTGTTGGTGTCACTGGAGTGAAAAAGGAAATTGAAAAAGTCAGCTGATAAAAATGTTTTTTAAAAAAATGGTTATTTTGTTAAACCTGCAAACGGCTGTGTTACAAACAACAGTTTTTATAGAAAGACATGAATTCAGCCCATACCATATTTTTCAGAGTATAAGAAGCACTTCCCTCCCCAAAAAAGTGGGTGAAAATTTCAGTGCATCTTATACAGCGAATGTTGCAGTGGGGGGAGGGTGTTGGTGTGGCGCCAATCAGCTGTTTTAGAATGGGCTGCGGCAGCGGTGGTGAACGAGCGGCAGCAAATGGGCCACACTGGCAGCGAACAGGCCACGCAGAATGGGCTGCGACGGTGGCAAATGGGTTGCGCCAAACGTGTGGTGGCAAATGGGCCATGCTGACAGGCAATTTATTTAAGACAATAAAACTTCATATTCTGGTATCATAACGTATATATACATTTGTACACACATATAAACACAATTCGAATTACCAACAGTTAAGTTTAGTTTAATGGCCAACATGCAAATTAAGCTGCTTTAACTCACCTCCCCAAGGTATAGCCAATGAATTTGCTTCGACTAGATTCCAGAAACATCTCAATATCTTTTTCCCTACAGAAAAGAAACCAAATCAACATTCAATCAAACTGAGCAGAAATCTACTGTAGGGATTAGCCAGTGCTGGCTTTAAACATACTTCCAACTCTATATCTAAGAGCAATTGTACATAACACATATATCCTTCTTACTGTAATTAGCCATCCCTTGCATTCATTGAAAGCAGCAGACATTGCATATATCTCAATAGTTCTTTTTTGCTTTTAGTACTTTCAAGTACTAAAAGTACTTGGGGCTGTTGGTTTTCTTGACTGAAGATGGTGATTGAGAGATCCTATAGCAATCTTTCATAATCCCAAAACACAGTGCATTCGAAAAGTATTCAGACCCCCTTCACTTTTGTCTATTTTTTTATTCTGCAGCCTAATTCTAGAGTTGTTGAAATTCATTTTTTCTCATTAATCCACACTCAGTATCCCAAAATGGCAAAATAAAAAAAGAATTTTAGATATGTCTGTAAATTTACTAAATTTATTAAAAAGAAAAAACTGAAATATCACATTTCATAATCACATAAGTACAATAGGAAATGGATAAAGTATTGCCCAATTCAAGCATTCCCCAAATCACCAACCTATAAAGATTGTTAGTAAACACACAGCTTATTCTCATCATCTGAAGCTCAAGAAGCTGATCTTTAAACTTAAAAGGTTTTTCTTCATTTCAACAATCTTGGCTAAGGACTGACCTGACTTTGGGTGCCCAAGGCAAACCTTTTGGACATGTCAGTCGGTCAGTTGGAGGGTGCTGCACAGGAGGCGGCATCACTTCATCTCTTTCAAGAGGAAATGTCTCCCCCTCAAGACTATTGTCTTCATCGTTCTCCTCCTCATCTTCTCGGGAATCATCAGCTTTGTAAGGATCTCGCTCATTGAATGCATCTAGATTATCCTGTTTAATAAGAGCCTGGAGGAACATTCAACGAGAGGCTAGTTAGCTCACACTCTGTATCACAACACTATTTGTGTCTACTGCTAAGCTCTCTGATTATTTTTTAATATAATTTTTCTTACTAATTACAACAGTAAAAACTAATATAAACTAAATTAGAGAAAGATAAGAGAATGGAAATAATAAAAAGTGCAGGGAAAATGAAAAAATGAAGAAATACATAAAGAAGTGACTTTCGATCTTCTTCAACCAAATTTAATAACTCTTCACTTCCTATAAAGTTAAACAGATTTTTCTTAATCTCATATCAAATCCCTTATCTATAAGCAAATCTATAAAACATCTCGTCTGTCATTTATAGTTCATGCTGTACTTTCTATAGTTTGATAGATAAAATTTGTTCTACATCTGTCATTCCTTCATTATCTTTGGTAATGTAACCTGACATTATTACTGACAGTATTGAAATTATAGTTACTAAACCTGGCTCCATTCTTCAAAAATGTCCTTTCTGATGTTACAATGTTTTGTATTATTTTGTAAGCCCCATTATTAACTGACAAAAGGCTTGTATATTTTTTCTTCTGCTTAAATTTTTAATCCTAATACCCAATCTAAAATCATCACAATGTTTTTTTATGACAGGGAATTGCCAAGATAGCCAAATAGAAGTTGTTTATTTTTTATATTTAATTCTAAAATCTTATAGTAAAAATCAATATTCCAAATTTATATAGACTCCCAGTCCATTTATAACTTTTTAGATTAAAAAATCTTGTTTAGCTTTTTGCTATTTATTTCAAATTCTTTCAGTTCTTGTAATTAATTTTTCTTTGTTCAGAGTTGATGATAAACTAACATAATGAAGACTTCAAACCTGTCATTCTGAAAATTTCTAACTGCTTTAATAAAGTTAATAGGCAATTATCAAAAATGAAAGTGAGATTTCAGAGTTGTTTAAAAGATTCTGCAACAGTTGTGAGAAAGATGACTGATCCTATCATCTTTAGGCACTTGAACCTGTGGAAAACCACAATCCTGTGGTCTCCTCCTTTTCATGAGGAGCATTTGGAGCATACATGGACAATCTCCCATCATCTCCTTATCCAGAGAGAGTTCCTTGGTCTTTGCTGACATTGTTAGTTCTGCAAAAGGTTGCCATATAGTTCACCATACCTCCCTCAGAAGTTATTAAGTTCTATAGTTCTAAAATTCACCTTGTGTTGCCGCCGATCCCGTTTCTGCTGCTGCTCAATCAAATCTGAAGCCGATGCCGGAGGTGATGCAGCTCTCATGTTGCGGATCACTTTTATGCTATCTTCAGGAAGTGGAGGAAGACCAAGCATCTCTCGTTTCTCTGCTTTCATATCCTGAAGCTCCTCAAATCCTCCAAGGGTGCACTAAAAGGATAGCAAATATACTGAACTTGTGGTCCTTGTGATTTACTCCTCAGATGCCTGTCAGCTAGTGAGCTATCAAGATCATTGTATTTTTTTGTGTAATTCTAAAATACTTCTATGATGTGCAGTCTTGTTATGTATTATAGTAATTCACTGAAAATTAATTTATCATCCTCAGTGTTTTGATTTTTTTAGGCAATTTTAGAAATAATTATGTGTACTTAAATACAAAGACATTAAAACAGGGGTCCCCAACCTCTGCTCCGTGGTCCAGTACTGGGCCATAGCTGTAGCTAATACTCAAACTGCTTCACAATCCCTTTTCCAGTTAACTTTTAAAGACTCTTGTATGAGAAGAACCTCCAAACCAAGGATTTAGATTACAGTGTATTCTTTCTGCCTGTTAATGACCAGGACTCCTGGAAAGGCAGGCAGCAACTGAAATAATATATTTAGGAATGATGAAGGAATAAGGCTTTCCCTCTACCCATAACAGCTCTGTTACAATATGGGAAAGAGCACCAGTCTGTCAAAGGATATATTATTGCTGGAAAATGAAAACTATTTACATGAGGAAGTTTTTTTCACCAGTGTGATAGCATTTTCCAGGAAATCACTGAACTGGAAATTGTCAAGGGGTCAGAGGTACCAGCATGGTGGCAATGGAGAGCTATGATGGAAGATGTTTTTTTTTTCTTTCTTTCTTCCATTCAATTGTGTTGGATTCTCAGAGACTGCTAGAACAAGTCCCTGCAATTTTCTTGACAAGGTTTTTCAGAAGTGTTTTACCACTGCCTCTTCTATAGCTGCCTCCTTTCATAGAAAGTGACCACTCGGCTACGGATTTCACCAAGTAGTTTCTCCTGCAATTCCTATCTAAACCTGAAATTCTTCATAAAGTATATATGCTAGCTAAGTGAGTGTGTATTGTCTTTTGTTAATATACATTGGCAGATCCTAATAAATGAATCAGTGATCTCATTTCATATTTACAGCAATGTCATCACTAATGTAATAAAAATGTCAATGGCTGCTTGAAGTTTGCAGTAGGGGTGAAATGCTCCCGGTTCGGACAAGATTGCCCGATCCGGTAGCAATGGCGGCGGGTGGTTTGGAGAACCGGTAGCAAAAATCCCTGCCGCCACTCATTGCCCTGCTGAGCCATGCGATCATCAGAGGCTTTTTTTTTTTTCACTTTTAAAAGCATATTTTCTTTGGCCGAAAAAATGCTTTTAAAAGTAAAAAAAAAAAGCCTCTGATGATCGCGTGGCTCAGCTGGGATCATCAGAGCCTTTTAAAAACATTTTTTCTACAATCTCTTTGGCTGGCGAGGTTGTAGAAAAAATGCTTTTAAAAGACTCTGACGATCCCAGCTGAGTTGTCTGATCATCAGAGGCTTTTTTTTCTTTTAAAAGCAAAAAAAAAAAAATTGCTTTTAAAAGAAAACAAAAGCCTCTGGCAATCAGGCAACGCAGCTGGCATCGTCAGAGCCTTTTAAAAGCATTTTTTTACAACCTCTTTGGCTGACGAGATTGTAGAAAAAATGCTTTTAAAAGTAAAAAAGTTGGCCACGCCCACCCAGTCATATTGCCCCACCACCACCAAGCCACGCCCACAGAACCAGTAGTAACAAATTTTACATTTCGCCACTGGTTTGCAGGTTTAGCTTCATGGGACCGCTTGCATTTTTTCAAGCAATTGTTAATCAGGTGGTATTTAGTTATGTAATGAACATAGGTAAGCAGCAATAGCATTCTTCTAGCGATACCTCAACAATTTTGGCAATAGTATAGGTATAATTTTGAGTTACTTTGGTGTAGTGTCTAAGGCATCAAGCTGGAAACTGAGAGAATGTAAACTCTAGTCCTGCCTGGGGCATGGTATCACCTGGATGACCTTGGGCCAGGCGTTTTCTCTCAGCCCTAGGAAGGAAGCAATGACAAACCATTTCTGAAAAAACTTGCCAATAAAACTACAGGGATCTGCCCAGCCTGTCTCCGAGAATCGGTCACAATTGAACATAAGGAAAAAAATAATATAGTAGAAGGAATAAAATAAACCCAAGGCATTGCAGTGGAAATGTTTTCAAATTTAATAATTTATATTATTGTAATTATATTTCAATGTATTTGTGCAGAGAATATGGCTATAGGCCACATATATACTAGCTACTAAAAATAACTATCTGCTTATTTCTTTCACTAACATACAGAACAGAGATATTTTTCTAGACACTGTTCAGGATCTTGCCTCAGCCATTAATGTTTGTAGTTAATACATGCATTACTCAAGAGTTTATTTATTTATTAAGAGAAATTATATACCACTCCAGTCACATGGGTCTGAGCACTCATAAAGAGGGTGTAAAAATTTGAGAACTTTCAGTGGTTGTAGTTGTTTTCATCTAAGACAAGGAACATACAAATGGACTATTTGGACAACCTCACAATGGCTTACACTTATTGTTGAATTATAATTACATACTATACATACTAATTATTCTATACTAAAAATAACTTTAGACCTAAGTATGTTCCCAGCTTTAAATTACAATATTGCCATCACTTTAGCATTGTACCAACCACCAATCTAAAGCTATTAACAACCAACCTATTGAAGCATCATATATTTGTAAACAGGAGCCTCTTACCAGGACAGTCTTCCAGAGCAGCAGCAACACTTTCTTCATAGGAAAGTGTGGAGCATGGCCACTGCAGAATTTGGTGACCATGCCAAAGAGCATCACAGAAAATGGCTCATTGTTATATAGAGGTGCCCCTGAAAAATAATATGTTGGTAACAAACATGTTATACAAGACCCTTGAATTTTTGTGTTACATATTTGAACATCTATGGAGATATTCAGTCATCTAGGTCATGGTTGTCTCAAAGGTGCCTTTTCCAAAGGCAATTGGACTTCGTTTTTCCTTTGAAGATGTTTTGCTTTTCAGTCAAGAAGCTTCCTGGATGAGAAGTTAAATGTCTTCTCTACTGTCAACCCAATAAAGCTTCTAGCTATTTGCCACATTTTTTCAGAATAATTTTCTGCTCATTCTGTGTTCTTGTACATAGTTTAGTTCAGTTAAATAATATATTTATATTTGCAATGATGGCATTCATTTAACTCCAATAGTGTAATTCATATAATCATTCTCCATGCGTCAAGATTCATCCTGCTGTCCTCATTCTTGATTTATGAGAACATGCAGCAACAGCAGCTATGTGTGGGTGGTGGTTTTGCATACAGAAAAGAGTGGGACTCACATTATCACCATACTGCTTTCCCCACCTTGTCTGCTCCAGTGAACACAATAATTCTGGGGACTAGAAGGAATCAAGGCCTCATGGAAAAACATGCCTATCTGCTTTCTTCACTCTGTTCTCAAATGTGTGAAATATTGTTCCACAGGAAGCTAGAAGGCAGATGCTAGCATCAAAACTTAGAATTTGATGTTTATATGTATTATATCACAATACAACAAATAACATTAACAATGGTCCATGATTCCTCATACAGATGTTGTAGTTTTTCCCAAGAGTAAATGAAAAAATTATCTGTCCTATGGTGCCAGGAGTCAAAGACTTAGCTCAATCATCATTTTAAAGAATATTGCTTAATGAGCAAACCATGGTTAAGGCAATGTATGAGTTCAGTTAAAATATTCAATGGAAGCTTGGGGATCATCTAGTTGAGACTTTTGTTCAATGTAGGTATCTATAATTACAACATAATCCAGTGGACCATAGGTAGGGTCACACAGCATACTAGGCTAAAATTTGGCTAGTCTGTAATTCATTATGTTGTAAGACAATAACTCTGTAAGTTAAATCAAATTGAATCCAATGAACTATGAGATTTATTGGAGAACTGAATGTGGACCTATGCCAAACTAGTTCAACATTCTATCGACATCATTACATTTTGCACACAGAAGATCCCAGGTGAACCCCATTCAGAAAATATGCAGAAAGCAAGGGGAAAAAAACCCTTTTTTCCCCGCCTGAGACTTTTAAGAGTCAATGCCCATCACAATGGAATTGCATACTGGACTACAGCAAGGAATATTAATCCAGAAGTGGGAACATGATAGAAGGTTTCTAAGCTACATATGCAAATCTGGGTCTCAGTTCCGCACAAAAAAATTAGGATTAAAAGCAAGCCAGATTTTTAAAAAAGCCACACTGATTGGTTACACATTATACAAAGCTATAATGGTTTGATTCTGGATTAATGCATTATATAATCAGCTAGCTATAATTTTTTCAACAAATTACTGTTAATTTATTTATTAGTTTAGTTTGATATGAGAAATAGGGTAAAGCGTCTAGCTAAATTTCTTCTTAGATAATTGTTCAAGGTGGTTAAAGCCTAGGTTCTGCTGGATATTTAACATACTTACCTGTAGTAAATCTCACCTAACTCAATAACACTGATCTGTGAGAAGACATATGTAAGACTGCACTATAAATTTGGCAGCCTTTAAAGATGTTCTGGATATAGTAGTAGAATAGTAATAGTAGTAACACAGCCTCAGTATTGAAGCTTCAATGATATCTGAGGAGGGATCAAAATTTCCTGGGACTTTCCTCCTGAAAACTGCCAATTAAATTTTGTACATCACTCTCCTGAAACCCTTCCAGGAAGAAGGATGGAGAGAAGCTTTGAGGTAATAATGTCAATGGCTTTTTCTCTGCGCACAGTCCAAATGAGAAGAATGCCTGGGAGCTGCTGAGACAAGCAAAGCAGGCAACAATGATAGTGACTGTGAAGGGCAATGGAAAAGGAAAGATTGGAAGCAACAATGAGCTGAGATTTTAGGAATAAAGACCTGTTTTATTAAACAATATGGGGATGCTGACTCTGACTATCTGGCAGCACTGATTAGCACAAAAGAAAAAAAGTTCTCTCTCATATTAGCATAGCCTTTTCTGACAACAATATAATCCTATCTTTTTGAACAAATGCTATTTAACTAGCTAAATTCTGAATCATGAGCAAGAAGAGACGATGTACCTAGCTCAGCTCTGAAGGTCTGTCTCATTGTCTTCCACTCAGGCTTATCTCCTTCACAGTCCTGACGGACAGTCTCCAGAATAAGGTACATAATGTTCAGAAGCACCCTGCAATCAAAGACTGAACAGGTTAGAAGGAGAAATTCCTGACAACACTGTTGGCTTCATTGAAAACTACTTTACAAAACAATAAGCAAAGTAAATGATCCATCCCTCACAATGTTCCCATGCATGACACTGAGGCAAAAAGATGTTACATTCGAAATAACAAACTTCATGGTAGTAGCTAAACATTTTATTTTTGGTCCGTGTCATTATTTTGAGGATTGCTGTTGCTTAGCAACCTATATTTTTCTAAGAAAAACACTCTCTTTACAGAAAAAGTTCCTACACAAACCAAGGGCATGCTAGTTTTTTTTAATAGTCAGATGGCCCTTTTTTAAATGGACAGTGGCTACAATGGATAATATAACAACATCTCTGAAGAAGTCACAGCTTGAATTTGACCCACTCTTCATCTAAATTGTGGCAAAATTTTTAACATTATTGTTAAAAATGTTAAAAACATTAATGTTCTATATAAAGAATGTTGGAGGCTTAAACATAACTATTTTTGTTGGTTTCCCACCAAGAATGCTGGGGAAATACACCACTGAGATTTGGTGGTTTGGGGAGATTCTATGCCTATAAAAATGGGGCTCAGAAGTAGGATTCACTGAGCTGTGTGATTTAAAGCTTTGCAATATCTTCTGGGAAACTAGACTGTTGTAAAGTCATAGTGAGCCCAAATATGAGGAAGTGATAATCATGTATCATATACAAAATATTCACCCTAAGCATGTTCTATTCAGCATCTCATCTTATTCTATTTCTCTTCTTCACTGCCCCAATAAAGACATGTAGTACGTTATGACAATTTGAAAATCAGATTTTATTAATAAAAATATATCAATCCAACATGAAGCCAAAAAAAGGATATAACATTCTTATCAATACAAGTTATTGTAACAAAAAAAAATCTGAGTTTGTTCATAAAGCATACTGATATTCAATGACTCACCTCAAATCTGTGCTATCAGCCAAGGAGATAGCAGGCTTCCTCACTGCACTGCTACAGGCAGCACTGTTACTAGAAAAAGAGAAATAAATTTCTGCTTTCTAGGCCACACCACCTTCTGAAACCAATGTCACATTGGATATTAGACAAACAATGGCATGGGTACTGTGAGCATACTGCAAAGGCATTCACCCTCTTCTAATTCCCTCTCTTATCCAACAGCAGTTACTCAATGCAGTTGTTAATTTGATTATGTAGAAAAAATTCAGTGAGAGAGAACTCATGTGCCTCATTGTATAAAACTACTAGAAATTCAGGAGCAACTTCTAGTTACCTTTGAATAATCAATTAGGAACATGTTTGATCCTATTAATGTAAAAACAAGGCTCTGATTAACTATGTTAAAATTGTTCACTTCTTCTGTCCTCTCAACTGCCCTCATTCTGTAGTAACTATCAACTCAGTTCCAGACATGCTTATGGCAGAAACCACAGACTATCTTTTCCACAAATTAAGACTGCATACATCTCCCTGTTCAAAACTATGTAGGCAATCTATGGATTATTATGGCAATTGGGACCAGAATTTCCATCACTAAGTAATGCGATGGTTGTAAAGCGCAACATCACATGACCACATCACTAAGCGACGGCAATCCTGAAAGTCCCTCTTCCTGTGTACGTGGGTACTATGGAGTGCCAGCAGGACACTAATTGTAATTATGAGTCAGCTGCCAAGTGCCTGAATTATGATCATGTGCAATCACGTGGTTGTAACTTCAAGGACTCCTCATTCAGCAACATCACAACTATTAATCAGTACTGAATAAGTGATTATAACCTGACGACTACCTATATATTTTTGTGTCTGTTTTTAGCCTTTATTTCCTCTCAAAAGACATGCACACACATTTATTTTAACAGGTTTTTTTAATTGGTCCAGATAGTTTCTAGCTCTCACCAAAGTTATCCTCAAAATGATCAATTCCAGATAACTTTTCTTTGTTCTATATTAAAAGTAACAAGGAGAAAAGGAGATACTCTGAATATTGTTTCAAATAAGTAATTTGCTATGAAATAATTAGATAAAACTGGATGAACAGATGAAAGGTTAAGTTTGGCACGTTTCCTTCATAAGCTGCAAAAATATACTGTATATCTTGATGAGGCAGATCATTATTAGGTTATCTAAACAGCCTGCATTCTTTTCAGAAGCCCAACTGTCACAACATGAAACTCACTCAATTTCCATGTTCAAAAGCTCCACCAAAGCATTAAATGTTCCAACTTCAAGCAGAAGAAAAATGTTGTATCGCATCCAAAACTGAACCTCCGCTTCTGAACTACACTCATCAAATGTGCCTGAAATAAAAAAATATATGATGCATTTCAGGAAAGATTGCCCTTGTTAGATCACACTGAAGAACAGAGAAACTACAACATTCAAATAATAAAAGAAATGTAAAATAATATTAACACAGAAGCTATGGTATCAATTTTCCAAAAGTATGTGGAATCACAGCCATTTCAAACCATTTCTAGGACTGAACTGGAAATTTGTTATAGAATTAGGTAATAAAACATGAGGGTTGAGAAGTTTTCATTATACTGACTCCCTATGGACAATATACAGATAAGCCTCTGTTGAAATTAAAGCAAGATAATGCATCTATGTTATTTATTATAAAACTAACTAGAAATCACCGATTTTTACATTAAAAAATTGAAGGGTCTTTTTGCACAGTTGAGGCACAAAAATAAATTTTTACTACTTTTGGTCTGTGATTGTATTTCTAGAATCCAGTTCTAACATTTGTGAATAAAAATGAAATTGGTCCAGTAATTCAGTTTTCATGCTGAATGGAAATATAAATTCTTTTATATTTAGGGTAAATACCAATAAATAAATTTTGCTGATTTTGTTAGCATTTCTTTGTCATTATTGAAAGAAAACATTGGTGTGAAAAAAATCTACTAAAATATCATAATTAGTAGGTATTTAAGGCTAAGTAGTTTCTCTGAAAGATACAAGCATACCTTGTGCAACATAGAGGATGGCTCGAGCTACCCTGAGCCTTTTCTCCCGAGCTGTGACCTCAAGGCCATCAAGAAGTCTCATGGCATGAGTACGATGTTGCTTAGTGTCCAGTTCTGTCCACTTTTTATCCAAGACTAGAAATACAAGATATTTGAAATCATGACACTGCTTTGACCTCTTTCTTCAAAAAAAGTAAACTGTTTGCAGCAATAAAAAATATAATTTTGTGCAAAGGTCATTAAAAAGTGGTTGTAATTTTAAGTGCTTTCAGCTATTTCCTCCAAGATCTCAAAAGCTTATGTAACATTAATAAAATGTTGTAACATTTTATTTATGAGTTTTTGTGACTTTACAAGATTGTGGCCAATTGTAATTAACAAAATTAGATTTTGATTTTAATTTTGGACAGCTTCAGACTTTATTTTATGGTATATTACAAGATCTTATGTCATAGGTCCATGTTGCTCATCCTTGGGCTAGAGTATTTATAGCACTATCAACAAAATTTAATTGTTTCTATAATATGTAAATATGGCCAGAATCTGGCAAAGATCTGAACTGATCTAATTTTACATTATCCACAAGCTAATGAATAAATATGCCGTTCATATTATTGCCACATTTTAACATCAAATCAAAACCAAACAAGAAACTTCTATCCCACCCTAAACATTACAGATCACAAAAAAATCTGTAGTGGTTGATAGTTCAGTTTCAGAAATGCCAATCCTTTTCATGCAGACACACACAAAATCACAATAAGCATTCCATGCTGATATGGTCATTTTATTTATCTAATACACCCGATTCCCCAAATTTTGGAGCTTATTATAATTTATTTAAAACAAAAATGTATTAAGGTTTTGTTAAAATAAAATGAAAGATTCATGAAAACAAATAAAAACATATTTGATACTAAAATAATCAACCTTTTGTTTTTTAATCACATTTGAAATACAGCATATACAGACTAAGCCTGAAGACATTCCAAGAAGGAAAAAGGAGGAAAAAGAGGTAATTAGTTTTACCATGCAGTCTAAAATCTTCTTCAAAGCATTTTCTGTTGAGTTGGAATTCAGGACCTTCAGTATAACTGTACAGTTCTGCAAAAAGAGAACAAAAGTCCATTACTTTATAACACTAGACATTTATTTCACCGTGTTGCGGTGGTTCTCCTCCTTTCTCTCTGATCGGTCGCAGTCTGTGTTGACAGGGGGGCAGAGGTCGACCCCGAGGACCCTTGTATGTGGGGTGCCACAGGGGTCGGTTCTCTCACCCCTTCTGTTCAACATTTATGTGAAGCCGCTGGGTGAGATCATCCGTAGTTTTGGGATGAAGTATCATCAGTATGCTGATGATACTCAGCTATACATCTTCACCCCGGACCACCCCAATGATGCCCTTAAAGTGATGTCCCGGTGCCTGGAGGCTGTACAGATCTGGATGGGGAGGAACAGACTCAGGCTCAACCCATCCAAGACCGAGTGGCTGTGGTTTCCGACGTCCCGATATAGTCAGTTGGTGCCATCACTGACTATTGGGGATGAGTCATTGCCCCCCACGGAGAGGGTTCGCAACTTAGGCGTCCTCTTGGACTCACGGCTGTCTTTAGAAGAACACTTGACGGCTGTGGCCGGGAGGTCTTTTTATCAGGTTCGCCTGATTCGCCAGTTGCGTCCCTTTCTGGATTGGGACTCGTTAAATACGGTCACTCATGCCCTCGTCACTTCACGCCTGGACTACTGTAATGCTCTCTACATGGGGCCCCCCTTGAGGAGCACCTGGAGGCTCCAGCTGGTCCAGAATGCGGCCGCGCGGGTAGTTATGGGAACAGCATGGCGCTCCCATGTGGCTCCCCTCCTGCGCGAGCTGCACTGACTCCCTGTGGTCTTCCGGGTGCGCTTCAAGGTCTTAGTTACCACCTTTAGAGCACTCCATGGCTTAGGACCGGGGTACTTACGAGACCGCCTTCTGCCACCAATAGCCTCTCACCGCCCAGTACGCTCCCATAGAGGGGCTTCTCAGGGTGCCGTCAGCCAAACAGTGTCGACTGGCGGCCCCCAGGGGGAGAGCCTTTTCTGTGAGGGCACCCACCATCTGGAACGAGCTCCCCCCAGAGATACAGAGGATTCCGGATCTGTGCACTTTCCGCCGTGCCCTCAAAACATTCCTGTTTCAGCAGGCCGGCCTGGCCTAACTTTCCCTTTATATTGCTTTTGATTTTATTTTAAACTGGGATGTCTTGAATTATCTAGGACCAGAGTGTTTAGTATATTTTAATTGGTTGTTTTAACATTTGTATTACATGTATTTTTATCGTTCGCTGTTCACCGCCCTGAGTCCCTCAGAATAGGGCGGTATATAAATTAAATAAATAAATAAATAAATAAATAAATAAATAAATAAATAAATAAATAAATAAATAGAATGGACTCTTGGCAGTTCATTTTAAATCAAGTCTATCATCCATTTAAAAAAAATAGCATTGAAAGATAACTTGCCATCTTGAACTGCTACAAAGTTTAGTTTTACCAAGTTTAATTGGGCTCTAGTAGGGTGCATCATCCCAGACAACTCTGTTCAACACCTAACATTAATAGGCAGGCAGGAAAAGAAGATGCTAATCCATCATAGGTAACACAAACCATGATTTGAAAACAGATTTTAAACAATGGCTCCACATGTTGCTTTGTAGCCGGCCTGTAATAATAGTTTAGATATTCAGATCTAATTCTCAACTATGTATTGTTTATGTGTTATGTCTCAAGATATATTTCCCTTTTATGGAAGTACTATAAAATAAGACTAGATTCAAAGTAGTATGAAAGAAATTTCTCCTTATACTAAAATGACAATCTTAACGAAGTTATGGGGGAATTCTCCAAACAGCATAATAGATGATGTTGGAGTTAAAGAGGAACCAGTTCAGATGATGTCCTATCAGCAATTCACAGGATAGCATAGAATATTGACAAATTGACCACTATTTAGAAAGTTGACTAATACTGAGAAGCAGAAACAGCACATTTAGCTGTGGTGACTAAGAGACTTTGCTGAAGTTGAAAAATAAAGAAGAGTATCCCTAAAAATAAACCATCAAATAAAAATATCAAGTAAGTGGACTCAATCCATAAAGCAAACATTCTGGAAAAAAGAGATTTAAATTCTGCAGAGATTCCTGCCCAAATCCTAATGGACTCTTTTATAAAGCTGGGGGGGGGGGGGGGGGGGGGAGGATTCCTATTTTTCTCAAGTTCCTGTATTTTATAATTCCTTATTTCTGATATTAAATAACATGTATTTATTTTTCACATTTCTGAACCGCCCATTTCCCTCGGAGGGATTCCTGATGGGTTGTAAATAGCTTTTTTAAATAATCTGTCATAACTTTGAGTGGTCATTAAGATACCAGCTGTAAATTGAGAACTACTTGTACAAAAGAAATGCCAAATGAAAACTTTCATGTGAATGCTACTTCACTAAAACTTTATAAAGGAGTCCTCATAAAAATTATGCAATTTTAACTAGTGACATTGAAACCGACAGTGGAAATTATGCTACATTGCATTTCAGGTTAAAGGACTGGATGGACACATTCCTGCTGCACCTGTCAGTCACTCTGAGCTGCACCATGATTCAGAAAGTAATGCTTGTTGCTGACAGCTGCTTACAAGCATACCTAACTTTGTCCATTTTGAATCTGAAGCCTACTGAGTCCTAAAAATTATAGCAACTGGTTTAACTTTTGTTTTATACGGGTCACTGAAAGAAAACTGTGCCAGATATAAGCAAAGAAACTCAAGCAATTCCTGCTTTACCTGAGAGTTCAGCGGTCCACTTGTCGGCATCTGCATATTCAAACTCAAAGTCTGGTGATTCTGAATAGCCCTAGAAGAAGATGACAGCTTAACTAAACTGTTTTCCAAAGCTGGTTATTTTATTTTTTTTAATTAAAGAAGCTAAAACCTTCCCCATATAGCTTCACTGTTACCATGGTAACTCATGTACAAAACTGGTGCTTTCACTAGGAATGAAGCACAGCTCAAGTCCAAAAAACCTCCTGTCTTTATTTTTTTACTCTCACCCAGGACGATTTGCTACTTTGCTCAGTCACTTATGCCCCATCTAGGCTTGCCAGAGCAAACATCCTCTGCAGCTCTACGGTGCCGCTCTCCCCTCAAAACCAAATTCACTAATTTTAATGGGCTATTTCCAGATGAACACCTTCATTCTTCAGCCGCCCACCCCCTTGTAAATTATTTGTCCCCAGACTGAGGAGAGGGGGGGGGAGTTATTTTTTCATTGTATTTCCCCCTTTTTCATTGTGTTGTTATGCATCTCGAACACATTGTCTTTTCAGTACAATAAGAAGTATGATATAACTACAAATTCTTGACATTCTATTATTTAGATAACTAGGAAAGAGCTTTTTTTTTTTAAAGGAAGAGCTCTGTCGTGTATAGAAGCAGGTCAGACTGACAAACAAAACTCTAGCCTGGTGTTTCCCAAGCTTGGCATTCTTGTTTATTGAAGTCCGCTTATCTTAAAAGTTGCCCGGTTTGGTGAATCCTGTTCTAAGGGGCTACCTGGTCAAGCCTTTTCTTCCGAGCGAAGGAAGGCAAAACTCGCGCGGAGGCGGCTGAGGGAGCTTTGAAAGAGAGACTGTTAATAAATAAATAAAAAAAAAAAACCCAGGCCCGTAAACAGAACGAGGACTCCCAAACCAATCCTGCTCGCCCTTCGCAACTCAGAGACCCCCGCCAAATCAAGTCATGGGGGTTGGGGGGGGGAAAGAGGCACTCCCTCAAGGCGCCTTGGCGTCGTTCCCCAAGAGGCAAATGGGCGAGTCCGCGCCGCCTCCCCACCCCGCCTAACCTCCGAGTCTTTACGCTGGTTACGATTAGGCTCCCGGCCTTTCCCTCCCGGCGGTGGCGGGGGCGTCGTCGTGGTGAGTCCAAGTCCTCCGCTCCGTTGTTTGTTATTGACGATGAGCAAGCCCGGACCACCACCGCAGCCCGGCTCCATCACGACGGGCTGGCAGCTCTCGCGTAAATTGAGAGGCGCGGCGCGGGAATCGCAGAGGAAACGTCACCATCTTGAGCGTGGCGGTTGAGGAGCGGCTTTGTCAAGGTGCCATCTTGAACGCTGCGGCAGTCAAGCGAAGGTACTGTGTAAGGGAATGCGGGGCCAATGGCGGAACGTCGAAGTCATCTTGGTTGCCTCACGCCCTTCTCAGACCTCCCCTTCTGGGGTTCCCTTCCCTCCCGCCCAGAGCCTTTTAGGTGAAATTGTGGCTGGTAATCCTGCGTTGCCTTATGAGTTTTAGTCAACTGAATCTTTAGTCCTATGTATTCTGCCGAAATTAAGGCGAGAGTTACAAGGTCTGGGTTGCAAAAATCCGAATGACCGTTGGAAAAATTAACCCTTTGCAATCTCGGGGTCGTGTGGATTTTTGCAATTCAGGCAGACTTGCAGGTTTACCTTAAAGAGTGTTCGTGTGCAACAGAAATATAGTAAGATTTTAGCTTTTTTTAAAAAAAATTTTTTTTACTGTTTATGCTATTGCTTAAAAAAGCATTTTTTTGAATTTTTTTTACCGTTTATGGTATTGCTTAAAAATACCTTGTTATAATGACATTTGCCAGGGCAGCGAAGCCTATCCCGTATAAATTGGGACGGCCACTATCTGGAGTAAATAAAATCCAAGCTCTTTTCGCTGCTACCCAACCCGGTTTTGATACAGTAACCCTATTAAAATATAACAAGACGAACACAATTGGTTTTATAAGTTGGTGGGTATTTATGCAGTGCGAACATGGTATCTGAAATTGGGCTAATACACACACACCAAGAGAAATATTGTACCTATATTAGTAGAGAGTACTTTCTGATTAAATGTAAGCGTTTAACGGAGCTCAAAATTTTGTGCCTTTTATTTTGCAGCTATGAAGAGTTAATTCATCTGTTAACACCCAATTCGCAATTAAGTGATAAGACATTTTGTTAACACTAGGCTTTTATATTTCTAGGCAGAGGGAAACTTACTGGAAGTCAAGCTTTAGGTATACCAGATGATGAAAAAGTTTTTATTCATATGTGCTTCTTAAAGGCTATATTATAAAGTTTTCAAGTTCCAAAGAAAATAGCAGTACCATAAAATATGGCTGTATAGTGACCTGGATTTGAAGGGTGAAATGTGATGTGCAGGCAGTTTTGGGAGAAGATACATTGCTTTTCAGTGTTCCCTGAAAGCTGCTGAATATGCCTGCCAAATTACATTTTGCTCTTCAAATCTGTATCACTTCACAATCCTGCTGAATAATCTGTTTTGCTGGCAGCAAAAGGAGCATGTTTGAAATATAATTTGGGATAATATGGCTGATTTATCTCTTAAAACTTGTCTTTGCCTCCAGCTTTGTCAATAAACAGGTATGTGTTTTTATGGTCTCCGGTTCAAATGTACGCTGGAAAAATTCTTTTACAAAATGTATAAAGTGCTGGGGGGGAGGGGAGGCATGTGTCTAATTGGCTCTTCTGTTTTACAGGCTGCTACAATATGACTACATCCTGGCTACTGTTTCCTTTTGATAGTTTAAGTTGTTTTCCAATCTGGGCAAATTCCAGATGTATTAATTTAAACTCCCAGAATTCTTTGCAATAGCATGCTGATTGGATAATTCTGGGAGTTAAAAGTTTTACACATCTGGAAATTGCTTACAGAAACACTGTTCGATGTGAACATATTACCAGCACTGCTATAATAGTATATGTGTAGCATCAGACAGATGTGGTAAATGAAAACACCAGAGGTTGAATAAAGTCGGTGTGCTAAAGGAATATTTTGAGAAATAGGACTGCAATCAACTGAGATTTCTTTATACTATGGTTACACAATTACTGCAATTTAGGGAAAACGTTTTTGCTTCCTAATTTTTATGATGTTCACACACAGTGGAATATGCAGTTGAATACAAGTTACTTCTGTTTGCCTTCAGGTCATGCTTTCTTGTACAGGAGAAACCAACATTCCAAAACATCCACATGTTAAATATGCATTACATTGGCTTGTGGAGTAGGAACAACATTTATAACATTATACTGAATTTTGAAGCAGTAGAAAGAGTATAATTATTAGTATTTGTAATGTGGATTCAGCCACAGATAGTAGAGAGACAGCATGTTCCTCAGCAAAATCCTCAGTTTGACTTGATACTGCCAAATCAAGTCCACATCTTATCATAGACAAGCTATTGCTACACTGGCCAGATTCATCCTTGGTTTTATGGCTGCAGTTTTTAAAATTCCCAGTATCAAGTCATAAGTTCTGGTTACTTCTGAGTGCTTCTATTCACGCTTCTTTTTAGATTCCCAAGTCATTTCTATTTCTAATTGTTCTGTACCTCTTTTCTTTTTTCTTATCAAAGGATCTCCAAAATATTCATTTATAATTTTTGACCTCCATATTCTTTTAGGGTTTCGTGTACTTCTTTAGTCTTGCAAAAAATTTAAAAAATCTAACACTTAATTCTCAAATGCAAAGATCTTCTAGATTTAACTTATCAAATTTCTGTACCACCAATCACTCTTGCATGCCTCTGAAGGCTTTTACAGGCCTTTACAGTTTAGAACCCAAAAGCCAATTATTAACTTTTCTGGGCCCTAAAATCATCAGAGACCGGGTGAAAGAACCACTTTAAGAGTCGACCTATAGTAACAGAATGTTTGCTTCAGATGAATTTATATGAGACATTTTACATTTCCCAGAACTTTCGAATCTTGTTGCATCCTCTAAAATCTGTTAGCCCCCATTTTCATTCCCTGTTCATTGATTAAGATGCAGATTTTTATGCTGCATCACATTTTCTGTATTTCTATAGTTTTTATCAGATAAACTATGTTAACAAATTTTAGAATAGATTTCTTATTCCAGAGTTGAAAAGCTAGAGTGGGAAATTGAGGGAAAAAAAAAAAACCACCACAGAACTTCAGAAGTTAGCAGTGGGAACCACCTCTATACTGGTGCCAAGAAAACTGCATGACTTTTTCCATGACATCACCAAGAGCCAAGTTCAACTTAAGGACATTTCATTTTTATTTCTGCTCAGCCAGGTGGCAGCATCTAGCTAACCCAACTGATCTAAAAGATCTAAGCAGGTGAATACTTGGTTAGTATTGGATGGGAAGCCAGGATGAAAGCTAAGGTTGGTAGGGTAAACTGAGAAGGTAAAATCTTAGGCCATGGCAAACTGCTTCACTGATATAGCTGTTAAGTCACCAGCTCAATTGAAAGACCACTTAAAAAAAAACCATTAATACAACAAACCTGGACTTTTCAATAATATCTCAATCTGTACATAGATGATATGGCAAACCTACCATTTTATCTGAAAAAGCATGAGCAGAGGATGATTCAAAACAGTTTTAGGTTAAGCATGAATTTATATTCTTTGTTTTGAACAGCATATTTTTATAGAAGTGAATATTCAACCAGTTTCCAATCTATAAATCTTATCTTCGCTGAACTTCAATAATTTTCATTAAGTTATTGGATTAAGTTATATACTATATAATAAGACTACTAGCAATAACAGAAAAGAACCATGTGGATGAATGAGAATTAGCTTAGATCTACTGCAAATGTTTTCTAGAAAGATTTAAACACTGATATTTTCCCTTAATGTTTTGTAGTTTCCAAGGATAGCACAACACAAGTTATTTCTTCCTCACAAAACTTGCTACGGTAGGAAAGGATAGGTATGCTTCAAGGCAGAAAAATATAGTACAGGTTGTCCTCGACTTATATTCACAATAGAACCCAAAATTTATGTTGCTAAGTGAAACATTTGTTAAATGAGTTTTGCCCCATTTTACGCCCATTCTTGCCACATGGCAAGAATGGTCGTAAAATGGGGCAAAACTCATTTAACAAATGTGAATCATAGTGGTTCTTAAGTTAATAACATGGTAATTAAGTGAATCTGGCATCCCCATTGACTCTGCTTGCCAGAAGGTTGTAAGAGGTGATCACATGACCCGGGGACACTGCAACTGTTATAAATATGAGTCAGTTGCCAAAATTCTGAATTTTAATCACATGACCAAGGGGATGCTGCAATGTCTTAAGTGTGAAAAACAGTCATAATTCACTTTTTTCAGTGCCATTGTAACTTTGAATAATCACTAAATGAACTGTTGTAAGTTGAGGACTACCTGTATATCTACCTCAATCCATATTTATTTTACTCTGTTCAAGAGAATGAATAGGTTATCAGTTATAAAGAGGTAAAATATAATATGGTATTACTTAAGCAGAAGAAAAGAATACTGAGGTCAGAGATAGCTTTCTAATCATTTATTCAGACTTTGCGTAATGATTATTGCTCATTTGCAAGGATTATTAATATTGCATTCATTAAAAATCATTCATATACAAAATAAACCTATCCCCATCTGGACTAATGCTATAACATGCTCCCTCTGATTGAACTGAGGTGTTGCTAGGTATGAGAATTTATTTCATGGCTTATACAGAGATGGAGCCCTTAGCTAAGATATTTATTGACATTGCAACATAGAGGCAGAGAAATGGAATGAAAAAGCCCTCCTAAACTTCTGGAAGCCTTTCTGGAATACACTCTGCTGGATTTACCTAATTCTGTTATAAGAAATTGTAAGAGTGCTGTGAAAAGTAAAAAATAAATTCAAGATATCATCCCAATGAAATATTTGGGGAAAAAAGTATGTTTGTTTAAGCTGGGATTATCATACGATCAAGAAAACAATAATTTGGCCTGGCCATACTTAAAGTCAGATTCTGAAACTGAGGGAATATGAACATCTCGAGGCAGAGTTTAGTAGAAGCTCTTCTACTAAAAGTCAATGTCCTGCATCATTCTGCAAGACTAGTAGATGTCACTATGCTACTGCCAAAAAGAAATACTTATTTGGATACTTATTGAGAGCGCCATTTAGAAACAGAGAGTAAGCATGATGGATGTGCAAATGTTTGGGGTCTCAGTGTCCTCATCAAATTGTAAGTGCTTTACTCTCTTCAGTGAAGGACTAGCTACCAAAAAGTCTTTATCATACAATAGTGGGGCAAAATTTATGAAGGAGCTAATAATGACACATTCAATATTTACATCTAGTTTTCCACAAGGATTA